CAATAATCTCTCCTCGCTCAAAATCTGAAAGTTGACTCCTTTTAGACATATTTTTTAAAAAAAGATTTTTTTATTTTCAAACTATTTGTAACTGCCATCTATATGAGAAAAAATAAATTTTTTATTTATATGCATTAGTTGTGGCATAATTCAAATTTTAATATGTTAGAATTTGCAATGATCGATGGGTGGTCAGATATTTTTTGGAGGGGAGTGTATCTCGAATTTGTCATAATTTACAATCACTAAAAATAAATTTTAAAAGTTTCATCTCAAAAGGATTAACAGAATTAATTTCTGTTCAAAAAGATTTAAAGTACTTGGACTTGAATTATTGTGAAGGTTATTCAGATGAATCTGACTTGGATTATTATGAAAGTAATTTAGATGGATCTGACTTGGATTATTGTGACTGTAAATTAGATGATGAAAGTCAACTATTAGCAAACATTCCAAACACATTAAACAAATTACATATTTTTGGAAGGCCTTGTCACATGCAACTGTCATTTATTTCTAAGCTCTCAAATTTACAAGAACTTTCATTATCATTTTTGAAAACCAATGGATTAAAGATTTTGAAATTCTTCAATATGCTACTCTTCCAAAATTGCAAATTTTAACTTTTGAAATTAAATGTGCAGCTGTTGTATACCTGATCAATTTCTTAGAAAACAATGGAAAGAATTTAAAAAAACTTGACCTTGGCAAAAAAAAATTTTTGATAATTCATTAAATTTAGCTATATCCAATTTTTGTACAAATCTGAGGTTGTTACGATTTACATATTCATATAAAACCTTGGATTCACTAAAATTAATTTTAAATGGTTGTGAACAATTAGAAAGCATGGAAATTTTGTCTAGTGTTAATTGTAGAGGTTGTCAAGACTTTATATAGGAGCGTGAATTACTAGAGATGATTGTAGAATTTTCACCTAAAAAGTTTCATGAGTTGACTATTAATTCGAAATTAGAAAGTGAAATTACAATGGAGGAAAGTAACGTCAAAGTAATTGAAGAGTTTATAAAGTTAGGTGTTATTAAAGAAATTAAAATATTCAATGATATCTCCTGGTTTTGTTAATCATATGCACCTGGTGGATGTATTACGTGTCAAATAATCATATTTAAAAATAAAGAACATTTTAAAGTGTCGAACAATAACCTTAGTAAAGTCCCGCCGAAATTTATGTTATTTTGCATTTTGTGATGATACAAAGTTCCTCAGAAATCTGTACGAAAAACTGGTTAGTTTGTAAACTCTGAAGTCGTCTTTTTTGTATATGCATAGCCACTAACCGAAAAAAAAAAAATCTTCATGCGCCGTTACCGTATAATGTATTACGGTCGGATTTATATCATTTACATCATTGTATCCGATTCTAAATTTGGAGAAATTTTTTATTCAAGATTCATAATCCTCCTGTTAGTAATTTCTTTCTTTAAAGTCCTTAATCGTCTGAATTTTTTTTTTTTAAGGAAAAAAATAAAAAATACAAAATATTTTTTTACCCGGCTTAGAATTCCAATAAAAATTTTCTGTAACCATGACTAGAATCTCAGATTTACCGGATTGATGGCACTCATCAAAAAACGTTACGAAATTTCACGTGATATAATTTGTCACCGGTGTCACTTCCCTCCGCGTTTCATTTTTACTAAGTAGTATTATGGGGACAGAATTTTTCAGCTAACGCCCTTGTTCATTACCTCCGAGGCAAGACATCAGCAGGTATTCAATATCACTCAGGAATAAAATATTTGAAATTATTTTTGAAAAAAGACAAAAATTTTAACTACTAAGATCTTATTAGTTTTCCTTCTGTTGAAGATTTTTTTAGATAATGACTATATTATTTTAAAATAAAATATTACATGTGATTTTACAATTTTTACGTTGGCTTTATTAATTAATAAAGACGTTTCAAGATATTTACAGGATTCATTTTATTAAGTGGTCACGGTAATTTAGCTTCCAAATGATTGATGACGTAATATACGAAAGAAATTTTCTGATAGAAAAACTTATACTTGCCTTTAAAAATTCGAATTGATATTACGAGGGAGTAGAGATGAATTAACTTTTAACAAATTTCATGAGCTGTGATTATAAGAAAATGCCGTATAAATAATTAAAGGAACCGATTTAAGCCTTTAGAAATGGATATCTAATGGTGCATGACTCAGTACAGAAGAGAGCTTTATTTTTTTTTAAAAAAAGGTTCAAAAAGGTTTATGCCAAATTTTTTTTGCGTACACGATAAAAAAAAAGAATTTTGAGATTTTATTTTCTAAAATATTTTAGTTAGAACGAACAGTTTCTTAATTTTTGTTTTTGGAACTTTGTAAGGTTGCCGGGCAAAACCCGAAGGTTTCGACAGGCATCGAAATCGAAGCCCGTCGAAACGTTTTGCCAAATATTTTTATTAAAGGCAAAATTGCGAAAGTTTCGACGGGTGGCAAAAGTTTTGACGGATGGCAAAACCCATCGAAACCTTTTGATATTAAAATACTATTTTTGAATTTAAAAATTTATTATTTTTTGTTTTACGAGATTAGCAAATCGTATATAGCAAAGATCACTTTCTTTACTTTCTTTTATCATATCATATACCGTATGTATTAGCTCGTTAAGAGGAAAGCGATATTTTATAATGGAGGCGAATGCGATCAATTATATTAAACGAAGAAACTGCAAGATGTATTAAGAACATCAATTGATCAATCAGTGTTAATTAAAATAGAATGGAGATTCTAATGCTGATGGAGCTTTGATGTCATGATGGATATAATAAAAGTGAATAATTGAATTGTTTATCTAAATTGCATATTTTACTATCTATTTACTCATTTTTTTTTTTAAAAAAAAAAAATAGCTACCTTTGAAAAATACAAATGATGATACATTGTTTGCTAAGCGTTTGAATCTATATAATTCATTTATTTATTTTAGTATAACATGCGGACGCCATCTGCCATTCTAAGTAATTAAATTATATCTTAAACTCGTCATTGTGAAATGAATAAATGGATGACGTTTATTAATTTCTTTAATCTATAAAGCTAAAGATTTTCATATTATCGTGTACGCATACATACATCGAATAGCTTAATATATTAAATAGCAAAATTTAAAATAATATTTTTATAACTCTTATTTGATTTGTTCAATTTATAAGTTCGTATTTTGAATAAGTTTTAATCTTTGTTTGTATTTCAGTAACTTCATTTTGTATTGTACAATAAAATTAATATGCTATATATATTCAATATTAAATTTTTAAATTTTGCAATTAATCTAAGGAATTGCTTTGAGAAATTTTAATATCTTATATTTCTTAAGAATACAAATATGTATATATAACTTTGTCAATGTGACCCATATCAAATATTAATTGATATTATTCAAACCTTTAGTATATAATGAAAAATTAATAAAATTCCTCGACTCAACTAAAAAATATTAAAAGAAAAAACAATAAAATAACATTAAATATATCTGTAATGTATTTACTATAAATTTGATCTATCTACCTCAAGATCTATTGCGGTAAATAAAAAGTTACTGACTTTACTGTCTTGATTCAGCAACTAAAATTAAATCGAGATTTTAATTATATTAAAATAAATTATCATCTTTCAAAACTTTTTCAAAAAAAAATACTTCTAACATATTCTATTAGAATTAGAATTTACAGCAACAGCATTGTCAGAAGGAAGGTACGTAGTTCTCGTTTGCAATAATTAACAGTTTTTATGTGAAAATCACGTGATTTATTTATTAACAAAAGAACGTATAAATCCCATTTCTATTAGCACCAATCTCCATTAATTGATAATTATCATCCTAATCCATTTGGCGCTGAAATTGCTTTTACTGTTTTAAGTTTAGTTCTATTTTTCTCGGTAAGTATTTTCTATAATTTATCTTATAGATTTGCGTGTGTATGGCATGTTCAGTATTTGTTTAAGTTTTTTAGTCAAAACAAGTTTTTAATTCAATTTTAAGATTGATTTTTATATTGGAACTACGAAGAAATTGCTTGAATGACGATAATTTTTCATGTACTGTGCATCTTTAACTAGCGAAAAATGTAATCATAATAAACGCTTTTTAGAGTCACTTGATTCCGTTCATAAGTTGACAATGAGAGAATTCTTTTTTAATAAGAAAAAAAAATTATCAGATATTTGATAAATAAATATTATATGTAACTTTCTTTATATTTGCAATAATATAATAGAACCATATTTTCAATTAAATTTATTAGTAGAACCGATGTTATATACGAATGAAGGTTCAATTTATCTTTTTTTTTTTTGCTCAACTAAAATTGAATTTTTGAAATAATCTACAATCCTAACTGGCTAGATCAAGATTAAAAAAAAATTGTCTTGTTTTTCCTCTAGTTCCTCTTTCAGATCGAATCGATTTCACAAGGATCAGGTGGTCATTTTTTTTTAGACCACAATGTTAAGGTGATTTATTTTCAGTGTGATAAGGCTTTTTAAATTTTTTTTCTTTTTTAATTTAAATTTCTCTGATTTTATCTTTAAGAACTTTGGGCCAACGAAAAATCTTGCGCCTTTTTTTTTCCTCTAGTTCCTCTTCAAATCGGATTAATATTTAATTTAATTTAATTTTTTTTTTTTAGGATTTTCTATAGGTTCGTGTTTTTTCTGGTGGAACACTTCTGCAAGTACTAAGTAATATTTTTTTTCAGTTTTGGGTTGGTTTTTTTTCGCTTTGAAAATTTCAGCTGCAGCGATAGATGGATTATAGTTGCGAGGCAAAACCCCACACCCATTTTGGCAAAAGTCGAAAACTTTCAGAAATTATTACGACAGTTTCGATGGGTTTCAAAAGTTTCGATAACTTTGCGAAATTCGACAGGTTTAAACAGTTTTATTGTATCGCAAAGTAGAATATAAAAATGAGGTTTTAAATTTGTAAGAACAGGAACCTGTTGAAGGATTAGAAGCAATACCTTATGAAGAAGTTGATGATAGAGGTTGGAACGAGTTTATTTTATATATCCGGATTTACTTTTCGAATATCGAATCCGATTTCAACCAAATTTTTTTTTTTTATTAAACTCTGTAGATCAAAATAAACTAGGGAACTTTATCGTGATTTTTGTGCAATTACAAGAGCCAATCATCATCGACTCACAGACATATATGGGGGGCAGTCAATAGAAAATCTACAAATTTTAAATAATTTTAGTTATTAAGGCCAGAACAAATCAATTATTTGTTTAACATAACCCCCCCCCCATTTTTCCTATTTTTCGCAAATATTATACATTATATATAGCCAATAAAATTGCAGTATTTTTCACGTGACATTAGCAATAATTTTATCCAATGAAAATGTGACAGATTTTGGCTAATTAAACTTACCAATTTTGATGACAGTAAGTATAAAAATCTAACTTTTTATTTTCTCTCACCTTTTTTTCTCACCTTTTTTTCTCACCTTGTTTAATTTCTCACCTTTTTAATTTCTCACATTTTCGATTTTCTCATCTTTTTAATTGTTACGTTAAAAAATGGCTTCCTTTCTTCAAGCCAAAAAAAAAAAAGAAAAAAATTTGTTCCGAAATTAAGCACCTGTGATTTTCACAAATTAGACAAAGATTTGTAAGATTTTTCTATAATTTTTCATATAATGAGGGGTGCTTAAAATTAGCGCGTTTATGGTGGATTTACATTCTATGTTTGTGAAACATGCTTTATCTTTTGGTTCAAGTTAGCGAAAATATCTATTGTATTATTTCTGAACGTGTAGTAAGCATAGAAATCACAAATAATAAGTTTTTTGACCTTTTTGATGCAATAACATTAGAAAAATATAGCGATAGAGAGGTACAAGTTTTTGTTAGAAAGGAAAAGTCTGAAAGTTGGCGGGAAGTTGATAATAGGTTAAGGGGTGACTTAAAAATGTTAGAGGTTTTGGGATTTTTGCAAGTTAAATTTTGTCTTTTTTCTGGAACAAATATAGAAATACCAGATACATCAATTTCAACTCAAAAAAGGCCAAATGCCTTTAACATTTTATGGAAAATTCAAGTCGACCTTTACTTCTCCAACGTCGTCCTGAACATAATAATTGTGATCGGCTTTATAATGAAATTATTGAGCTTTTTGAAGATTGGAAAGTCGGCTGGACAGGTGGCTCACATGATACGATTGGAAAAAATTTTGTAAATTGCCTTAAAAATGCCCTTTGGTATATTGATATACACCTTTCTACATTACACGCACGTTCATATCACCTACCAGTTTTTTTCACACAGTTGAAGACTTATAAAAACGGCCAAACATATAACAAGTTCTACCATACTAGTCACTATAGAAAGGATCCATTATCACAACAAAAACTCTCACATCTTTCAAGTTCTCTTGAATTATCCATTAATCAACCATGGACAAGCAACGATATTTGGAATCAAGTAATGACCGCTATTTTTTCTTTAATTGAAATCCTAAGAAAGTATTCAGAATATTTAGTTACAACAAATATTAGTATGAATAGGCTTCATAATAGTGATGAAAGTGTCCGCAATCCTGAAAATAATAGTACTATGTATCGAATTTCTGCCTGTGAATGGGATAGTCTTAACGAAAATTATATTCAATTAAATAATGCTTTACTTGAAAAGCCAATATATAAATATATTGATATTCAACTTTACCTTCCAACTGATATTATGAAACGACATAGATTTATAAAAGAATTACAACTTACATTTCCAATAGGCATAGATAGGTTAGTGCTTTATATATTAACTAAAGGTTTATATAAAAATTATTAATGATAATTCAATTTTTAGGTACCATCAAGGCAACTATTTAGGAACCATTAATTATATATGGAAAATTCTGGAAACTGAAGTATTTAATGATGAACAAAGTGAAACTATGAAGGTACGCATGCTAGTTAAGATCCATGAAGAATTACTTCATTATTTTACATGGCAAATGTGAAAAAATATATTAGACAAGATAATGACTACGTTACTAATATTCAAATGACTATAATTGTATTATTATTTTTTAATTACTATCTATAATTTTTAGTATTCCTATATCAAGAAAGTCTCACTGGAAGTATTAAGAATGCTTTATTTTGATCTTACCGGTGATGCTTCTGTAACATCAAATGCTATCTCTCATGATGTAGATGAAAGACTGCAACTAATGCTGACTTTAGCGGATCCTGATATTATATTTGATTTGCGAACAAACAATGGATTTAATAGAACAAAGTTTAATGAATTCTGGGATGAAATGGATGCCTATTTTAATGAGCAGGTATCAAAATTTACATTTATTTTTCTTTATTACAATTTACATTAATATATTAGTATATTAATATATTAGCATTCATCTAATAGAACTTGCTTGCAGTAGAAGAATGGCGTTATGGATCTGTTTTATATATGCCATTGGCTTTATCTGTTTGTGACCTTCGTAAAATCATAGTGGAAAGGCTAAAAATTAAAATATAATGATTCTCTTTCTCCTGCTATCAATTTTCCATCAAATGAATGGATTCGCCTTCAGTTTTGCCCTACAAATACCACTACAACACGATCAATGTATTATACAGGCCGATTTAACGTGAAATTTAAGGTGCAAGATCAGATGTTTCAGAAAAATAGTGATGATGCACATTATTATGCAGCACTTTTCCGATACCTTAGGGAATTTTGTATTAAGTATCATCAGTGGACTTGTTTAATATCTGCAGATGATAAATATAAAGTTCCCATCAGAGAAGATATTGAAGTTTCTACAGGTGTACAAAATAGGCGATCTTTAGTTTCTCAAGATAGCATTTTGGCTGCTTCCAATCATGATTTTACTAAACTTTCTTTAACATCATCTGTTACATTTTTTATATCAATTCCTAATGATATTTCTGGATCATTTTATGATGGTCAAGTATTTGTATCTTATAAAGATACAGTTTTTGAACTAAGTACTGCTATTCGACATTCAGCTGAATTTTTAGATGATCTTAACATCCAATATAGACATCAAATAATGCCACCAATTTTGTGCCTTTATACTGACGGAGGTCTGGATCATCGGTGTAATTATGGATCAGTACAAATTGCATTGATATGTCTTTTTCTTTGCGGAGATTTTGATTTGCTTATTGCAGTTCGTACAGCACCTAATCATAGTTGGACAAATCCAGCAAAACGCGTTATGAGTATTTTAAATCTAGGTCTTCAAGATGTAGCACTCAAACATGATAAAATGAGCTCTGAATCTGAGGATTTGTTTCTTACAGTAAATAATTTAATCGAGATACGTAAAAAAGCTCAAGAATATAGTAGGCTAGAATTCGAATTAAAGGAGAGTATAGCAAGTATCCAAAATATGTTAAATATACGAACGAAATGACTTTTATTGAAAAATAAGAAATTTCAACGTCTTAAATCAGCAAGTGAAGAAAGTATTGCCGAATTGTTTAAGGTAAAGTTTATTATTATAATCTTTAAATTAATTATTAATATTTTTATTAATTTTTATACTTAATTAACTATTTTTACTTTTGAAACAGTCCATTTCTAATATAGATCTAACTTTGGGAATAGAAGAAACTACACGAACACAAATACATCGTTATCCCACATTGATCAAATTTATGAATACTCATTGTCATTTACGTGCCTACAGCTTTCAGGTATGTGTTATAAAATTTTGAAATAATTTAAAATTTTATTTTTTAAACATAATTTAATAATACAACAGATAAAAAAATGCAACAATACTTCCTGTGAATATTGTAAACCAATCCGTCTTCCATTACATGAGTTTCACAACTTGAGTTTTCTTTCAGACCCGATACCTTCACAAGGTAATCTACTATATCACACATATAATATCAATTAAATATTAATTTTTTTTTATTTTTTTTTAAAAAATTTAGATAATAAAGATCATTATACACCTTTTCAAAATGTTTATGGAACCGAAACTACTGAAAAGTATAGACCAACATATATGCAATCTCAAGCAAATAAAGAGTCTATTCTAAAGTCTATCTTGGTTGTAGGAAAAATTCGCGATTATATCAATTGTGAATATTGTAGAAAACGTCGTTGTGTATACAGTGATAGATATTTGACCTATGAAGAAGAAGAAGATTATCAACAGGCATTAGAATCATATTCATATTCTTGTGGTGTATCAATTTTTCCTGACGATCATTATTTGAAAGAAATAATATTCGTACGTATGCGAATTAACTGTGATTCACCAATCGAAATAATATATTATTCAAGATGTAAATCAGGAAATTATTTAATTTGTTATTATTGTGGAGAAAGTGAAGGTTTGGTGACTCCTCCTCAATCTTTAAAAGAACGTTTTAAACAAATTTATCCATTATGTAAAGAATGTCAAAATAATCAAAAAGAATTTCATACTAGAACAGAAATTAAAACTAATGGGCGTTCTTTTAAATGTCATAAAAAATAATCAAATCATTTTTTTTTGTAATACAAATTTGGAATATTAAATAAATAAATAAAAATTTATAATATGTATTATTTTTGACCCCCCCTCTCTATTTTTGGTTGACTTATGTTATGTTAAACAAATAATTGGTTTTTTTAGCCTAAGCTAGTTTTGTTCACATTACCATAATCAGTAGAGTGAACCAATAAAAAAATTTTTGACTAAAAAGTGGATTTCCCCACATATAGTTCTTCGCTTACACTCTGGACTAATGATAATAAAAAGATAATCTTTCAGATTTCCCAATTAAGTATTTATAAACATCAATGTTATGTTAGTCGAATCTTTCAATTTATACTGCACGAGAAGTTGGTTTTAACTCATTTCAAATTATTTCTGTGACTTGTTACTATTTTACCATGAACTAGTTCATACCTTATTTTAAAAGCAAATGTTTGATTAACTCAGTTACGGTTTTTTATTTTATTTAGTTTCTGCTTTGTTTAATTTTGAAGCAGCAACCGGAGTTTTCTGGATTTAATTCGAACTGGATAAATCTGGATTTATCAAATCAAGTTCCAACCTCTAGATGATGAATTTCAAATGAAAGTTTAATGGATTAAGAAGAAGATAGGGATCCTGTCATGAGTTTAAATGAAGAAAATACTAATTAGAAGGTAAAATGATGTAATTGGACTTGAAAAAGAAATATATTC